TCTTCTTATCATAGCATACCAACCAGCGAACACCCAGCCAAGTTTAGTTAGCCAGTTTGAGTATTCGTTACAGTTCACTTGGAAGTGAACTCGTTACTTGTATCAAAGATGTCAAACTAATATGATAAGATTGATAACTAAGTTGATGTTGAGCACGAAGCTCCTATCTAATGGCAGACGTGCCAGTCTTATATAGAACCTTCGTTCTCTCGATGTTCGCTCGTTCGACAATCGAACTGGCTAACTTCGCCTGTTCGCCCGGCTAACCGGCGAACTCCTAATATCACGTGATAACAATACAGAGAAATCCCTGGATCGCTTAGCTACTCCAAACGATCCCTATTTGCTATAAGAAACCTGGATGTGCCTTTCGAGGGTTGCGCCTCTTATTATGACAGGTATCACGTGAACACGTGATTCGTGACATTCGGCTCTATTAACTTAGAGTTAAACTAATAGCTTCTATATAGGCTTAAAAGAAAGCTCTTAATTAGTACTCTAAGATAATAGTATCTTAACTAAATTTAGCCGTGGCGGGTTAATATATTAAGAGGAACTTTAGATATTAAGAGAGAGATAGTATTTTATAAGGTATATATGTGACGGTTCTAACCGCCACTACACCTCAGACCAGCCCCTGGCTGGAACCCAGCGGATACCGTGCTTCCTGAGCCCGGCTCAGTTAGCCATAGCTTGGCACAACCTCCTGTATATAAGAACCTCTGGCTCCCGAGCTCTGCTCTCTTCTCTTCTCTCCTTAGCCTCTGCTCTCTTCTCTTCTCTCCTTAGCTTAGAATCCTCGAATAGACAGTTCCACAGTGTCAATCTCACCACTCGTGATACCTGACGTAGTCGTGCTCTTGCGCGGTCCATCAGCTGTGCGTGTCGTCACAATATAAGGGTATAGTATAAGCGTACGTACTATATCCTACGAAAAAATTAAGTCTTTAGAATACTAATAAACTTATCTATATCGTACGTAAATCGTATCTAAAAATTTAACCCCTTTCGTATAGGATAGTAGTTAATTATATCTATAAATCCGTGTTATTTATTTATCTTTCTAACTAGTAAAGGTAGCGCTATATCGGTAGAAAGAGTCCTATACGCTTATAAGAATTTACACTTGCTTCCACTGACTATAAGCGATCGCGCCGTAGGAAGAGCACTGGCTATTATTCCAAAAATATGCAACTAGATGAATCCGCATGTACCTAATTTACACGTGACCATCCCCAGATGGTCACGGGAGTCGGGAGATGACCTATCTCAGCAAGCGGACTGCATCACCGTAACTTTTTACAACTTTTTGCTACTCTTATTTCGACGACTCATCTAAACATATTTCGAGATTTGGTTTCTTCGAGCCTTTTCGCAAGGACTCTTTCAAATCAGTCAACGCTGTTTAAGCCCTAAGAGAACTTCCCAGAGTACTAAAACCTCACACCAGTGAAAGCTAGATGTCATTGCACATGATAAAGCTTCGGGCGTTGATCGTGATTGACAAGAGATACGGGTTGACCCGGCTCGATGGTTTTTTTGATGGTTTTTACTTTTATCATCACGATAGGCGGATTTTTCTGTTCTCTGTTGTTCTTCAACCGGTGTGTTTCCGACATGGTTCTCGCGAACTCTGCCTTTTGGTTTTCAGCCCGAGGACAGCTGTCGTCATAACGTTGGCGCTGGTGTGGTTCTGTTGATAGTTCCTTTGTCGAACGGCCATTTTTGGCGCCGAAGCGGCTGAAAGCCCTCTCCGCATTCGTGGTCTCAGTTTGACTGGTTTATGTGCGATGATAATTCAGAGTTCAATATGCCGTGAGATATTTCCTAAGTGACAGCTTCAGAATCTTTGCAGCAGGCGCGCTAATGCTGGAGTCTTGATGTTTACGGTCTGTGGACAGAGTTAGCTTATCTCGGCCCTCGGACTCTCACCAAATGCTATTCTCTTGAATACCCTTTGATCACTGGTACTAATTCTAAATGTTTCGACACATCAATAGGCCATGTTTTTCGGACACAATCGGAAATACCAATCACTATATTTTCGGTATCGCTTCCTGTAACCCATTACAAATGGAAAGACGGATCAGAAGCTAAATCCAAATTGAGAAGCCTAGTGTTTAAGTTGATATGCTTACAGATACAGTACCAAAGCCCCCGCCAAGGCGCTCGAGGAGATACTATGGCTGAAAGGTAGAACGCATCTTTACCAGTTGCGGAAAGGTTCGTCAACAGGGCTGCCTTTCATTTGCCTCAGCTATGGTAAACCACATTTTATAAAGATGTTGCAGGTACCCCAAATTCACCTCTGTCTTTACTAGAGAGTTGTTTCTAATTCTCTAAAACTCGAAAGTCCAGACTTTCGACTTCCTACGACCATATTCCTTTGAAAGGTTTCCAACTTCCATGGGCTGGTCTTCTGAGAATTCGGAAATCTCCTCGTCATTGATTTTCTTCATTGTTCATCTTACTGGAAGAAGAATTCTCGCAAAAAATGTCGGGAATATCTGAAAAATCAACAATCCCCAGGGAGTCAACGTCTGATACCCTCAATGTCCCCAACCATAGTATTTTCAATGGCTCCGAGGGAACCCCATTCAACGAAGATAAAGCCGCAAGAGAACATGGGGTTACCAGAACCACCGCACAGGTCCCCCCTCGAGATATAGGGGGTATCAGATGGGCAATCGTTGTTCTTTCTATCCTGAGTTCGACCTTTCTTTTTGCCCTCGACAATACGATCGTTGCCGATATTCAACCTGTCATCGTCACCCAATTCAATTCGGTTGCAAAGCTCACCTGGCTAAGTGTTGCTTTTCTTATTGGCGCAGCTTCAACCAATCTGTTTTGGGGTAAAATCTTTGGGCAGTTCAATGCGAAATGGATGTACATCTTTTGTGTTTTTCTGTTCGAAGTTGGATCGGCTGTATGTGGCGCTGCACCAACGATGGATGCATTGATTATCGGACGTGCTATTTGTGGCGTTGGTGGATCCGGAATGTATGTTGGTGTAATGACTTTGCTCGCTGCCACGACTACGATCCACGAGCGACCAATGTATGTTGGCGGGACTGGTCTTACCTGGGGCCTTGGAACTGTAGGTTATCGACGCTTGTTGTCTGGAATCTCGCTAATTGCCTCAGGTGCTTGGTCCGATCATTGGTGGTGCTTTCGTTGAGAGTTCTGCTGGATGGAGATGGGCATTCTATATCAATCTATGCATTGGTGCGGTTTGCGCCCCCGTTTATCTCTTCATGCTACCAAGCAAAGATCCACGCCCAGGAGTCAGTTTGAAGAACAGGTGCAAAGAGCTGGACTACTTGGGAGGATTCCTTACCATCGCAGCCTTTGTCTTGGGAGTTATGGCTTTATCGATGGGAGGTGTTACATGGCCATGGAATGATGGAAAAGTGATTGGGATGTTTGTCGCATCTGGAATACTCTTCATCTTGCTCGGATTTCAACAAGTCTATTCCATCCTCACCACTCCCACACGACGCATTTTCCCCATCGAATTCTTCAAATCACGAACCATCTTAATATTGTTCGCTATGACAGCAGCGGGCGGTACAGCAATCTTCATACCCATTTACATGATCCCTATTTTCTTTCAATTCACCCGTGGTGATGGCGCTCTAGAAGCTGGTGTCCGTCTTCTTCCATTCATCATGCTTATGATTTTCGCTGTCATCGCAAATGGAGCTATTCTCTCCGCCTGGGGATACTATATGCCTTGGTACCTAGCAGGTGGCATTATTGTTGTCATTGGTGGGGCACTTATGTACACCGTCGACACTGAAACGTCCATTGCTAGAGTATACGGTTATACCATCTTGATCGGGTTCGGAGATGGTCTCTTTGCTCAAGCCTCATTTTCCGTGGCTCAAGCTATTGTTGCTCCTGAAAACATAGCCATGGCAGTCGGATTCATCACTTGTGCGCAAGTATCTGGAGTCACTATTGCGCTTGCTATCGCTAACTCGGTTTTCCTCAATAAGTCGCAAAGTTCAATTTCGAGAATCTTGCCTGGTGTTCCCGTGATGCAAATCCAAGCAGCTATTGCAGGAGCTGGAAGCAATTTTGTTGAAAGTTTGACTCCGCAGGTGAGAGCCGAGGTTCTCAATGCAATTGTGGCTGCACAAAGTCAAACTTATATTCTTGTTATCACTGCTGGGGCTTTGGCTGCCATTTTAAGTTTGGGGATGAAGAGGGAAAAATTGTTTATGGCGCCTGGTCATGTTGGCTGATCATTTGTGGCTATGTTTTATATAATATCATTGCGTACCTGTAATTTGTTGTTTGACGTTGGCTATGAGGCCTGCCATTCAACGTAATTTTATCACGAGCACTATTTTGACATGAATACATAGATGCATTTTGGAAGCTTTTCATGGGTACTTTATTGTGAGGTTGCTCGACAGACTCATACGTGATTTTCTGCATCAGGGCTAATGAATATGGAAAGCTCGTTTGGAAAAGGGACATCGAATGATAAGCGAGGTGTGACAAAATCTTAGAAACACCTAGGGACTTCTGGATAAGATATAACCTTCAATATGCACCCTGCCAAAAGAACAAGATTTTCGAGTCAGCTTCAATACCACTGACGTCAAAGTCAGGTATTCTAAGCAAGCTGTACTATGTAGGAGTACTTATAGGTATTACCCGGCGAATAAAAACTTATTTTATATTGAGGCTTACACATAAAACTATTGAATTAGAAGTCAATTAGAATCGTTATAACTAGTATTACCTTTAGTACGATAATAGCCGTTTTTCAAAACATATAAGTCCCCCTTAGACGAAACTCATTACAGCAATGTAGTAAGCCCAAACAAGACCGGTAACAAGAAAACATAAGCAATAAATCAACTAGTGTCCATTCTTGATTCTGGACGATACTAATGAGACGCCTCGTCTAGGATCATGTCATGAGGGCTCCTTGTCCAGCATCATCAACCATTTCAGCAATCGCCCTAATAGCTCGGAAAGGCCAGTCAGCTACGAACCACACCCATGGCTTTGGTGCATTGGAAATCACCGCCAGCAAATACCCAGTGACAACTAAGGCGATTGGAGATTTGCGCTTCACAAGTTGGAAGAATTTATCAGACATCGTATCCAACCACAGAAAAAGGTTCAAGGCATTCTTCGGGCCTAATGGAGCTAGGCACAGCCATAGTCTTTTCTGGGCTATACCTGATTAAAGAATTTCAGCTTCATCAAAGGGCAGAAATGATGCTGCGAGGCTCAAGTGGTCGATGCATGAGAACAACTCAAATCCGAAATCGCTGAATGAAGCTAGCGATGATGGAGGACTCGAGCCGCTGCGGCGCAGATGGTGTGTGTCTTTTCCCCGTCAATGGGTCATTATCTTAATAGTCTCCACGCTCATTTTGGCGGAACAAAGAGCGCGATGGACTAAAATTAGGCAGGGAGTGAAGTTTTCGAGATTCATGTCTTGAGTTTCTGGGGTCAAATTCGAAAAAGTAGGTAGTTCTGACGAGGTCGGTACTGGCAGCAGCGTAAAAGCGGTTATGGTGGTCAGAATGATTTAAGGCAGTATGGAATTTGCTGGCGGAGCACCAGAAGGAAGACTATCACCCGACTCGACTTCAGAAATTGACACATTGTCATAAGCCCGACGAAAAGAAGCAGAGGCTTCGTTAGTATGATAGGGAGCCAGATGATGATAAGGGCGGTCATCGAAGCTTTCAGTCTATAGGTATTAGTTTCCGCCGGACGTCAAATAGAAATAAATAAATAAATAAACATACTTGCTACGTGGGCACTCGCGATAGAAACAATGACGTGTAACAGGAAAGTGTGACTTTGCCCTGTTTGGGGAATTCGAGTCACAAAATATCGGGATGGGAGTAGACAGATGGATGGGTGCAATAGAAGCGAGCCTTTGGTCAACAACACCATAGGACTCACGATAAGTTCCTGGTAGTCTGGTTTTCAATCCGTTAGCCTGAGGCCTGCATATTAGCTGCCTATAAGTTTGCTGGCTCTTACGCCTGAGGGTTCAACTTACATTTTTCTAGTCTAGCTGCGGAGTTCCTCCACACTCCAATCTCGCCTTACCTCCCATCTCCTAAGCTCTTAGGTTTCCTGTCTTCTTTTTTTGCCCCTTCATGAAGCCTCACAAGTAGTACAATGAGAAAATACAAATTTCAAGTTGGCAAGTATCATGATCCATTTATTCAGATACTATCCATTTCTACTGACGAGCTTTTAGCTATTAGTTTTTCCATCCAAGGCAGATGTAGATAGCATCCTTGATATTTTGAACCATATCTTTATGTGGTTGGTCAGTTTCTTTTCCCATATTCGTATTCACCACCACAATCGCTTTTGGCGTGGCGTCGGTGTGATGCCCAGGTCCAGATGGTGATTGCTTAAATGCTCCCTCAAAGAATGGTGATGTCAAGTTTGTATTTTGGTCCTCGTCGTCAGCACCCCTTGGCTCCAAATGACTTGCTGTTGGTACAGGCTTGGAGATTTCAGGCCTTCTGTTATACATTTTTGTATTTGATGTAGTTTCCTGGCTCCTCAGTACTTCCAGGTGATTTGCTAGAACCTTCTCATGCTGGTCTGCGGTGAAGGGGACTCCCAGCAGATTTTTGGTTGGGATCCAGATCTGTTTCCATGAATTCTTGACAGTCGTTGGTTTAAACGCCTGCATTCTCTTTCTTAATCTGGCAAATGATTTTCGATCAAGTCGTAGGTTGGCGGGTTTGACATTTCTGAAATTACTCAGCAGATCCCGTGGTACTTTATGACGATGCATTAAGAGAACCATGCTGTGTTTTGTAAATGGCTGACTCTTTGCATCGCTCTCAAATTTATAATTCAATATTGAATCTTGGTCGTTCTGTCCCGATCGGGGATGAGCAATCTGGGTGATTTCACCTCCGTGGCCATTACCCACTTCCGTTGACGAAGAGATCTAATGCTTCTATCAATCATCTTACTGTGATAGTTCGACTCCAATGAACACTTTGGCAAATTCGACCATAAGTCTTTTTCTTCCCGAAACAGGTCCCACTTCCAAGGAGAAATCCAGAATGACTAGTGGATGCGTTCTCAAGGATGCCTTACTTTGGATAGTGCAGAATCTATTCGTCTTTGAAGTTTTGATTATATCCCATGGATGATTCAAGCACTCAATAAGATTGTCTCCGGAAGGTCCCATGACAATACACCCAACTCCCAATCCTTCCTTCATAGCCTCGATGTAGGGCTCTAGCAGATTTGTCTTCTGTGCTGTGGACGTTTCTAGTACCTCTTTTGAGTCTGTCATTTTGAGAGAGTTGTAAGTACTCCAATATGATTTTCGTATGTGATGTGTCACTGCAGTGCGAATCAAGTAAAATTCAGCGAGCGGCTCCTATTTTATAATTTTAAGTAGAAGCTGTTCAAGCTCTCGTCAGCGGCAAAGTCTAGAGTTGAATCACGGGCAAGTGTTAATTGCTGCTGTTCAGAAATGTTTCTGTTTGAGCCCTGTGAGAAACGTGGCCACCTGCCCGTGTTTTCTGGGTAGCCACCAACATATGTCTTGAAATAGCTTATCAATGTTTTTTTTCATAGCAGACGACGCACAATTTAACAAAATCAACAAAGATCTCGGTTCAGATTGTATTCATGAAACCATGATTCATGAATGTGAACTGGCTAGTCGTGCCAGTTGGCTCAAGGCTTGTGTTTCAGGACCTGCAACTGCTTCAGAGGTTTCAACACTAGATCTTATAACAAAACAAAGATGAACGGTGTGGAATTAAGCACTTTAGCCCTACATTAATCACACCTATATGAATGGTTTTATAAATACAAAAATGTCCTGTATCCTAGGAAATGGTAATATTGGTAGTTATCCTGGCAAGAGATGATCCTTTTAATAGGTTGAGAACATAGTATCTTCTTATAACTTACTTAAACATCTAAAATTGCATCGATTGCTGGTTGATGCTGTTACTTCCATCGCAATTGTAGTTCAATTGCAAATGGAGATGTTTCAGTCCGCTAGCTTGTGTATAGAACGGTTTTGGCGGGTCCCCTATAGTTAAATCTTTCTCCACCAATTATTGGAAAAGTCGTAACTAACTGAGATTGTATATCTGTTGTGGAGAGAAAGACGATATAAGGAGGACGAAAATGAGGAAGAGTATTCTTGGCAGGAGAGATGAGAACTTCTTCTAAAAACTCATTCAGATAACCAATACGCAGAAGCTGTGACTCCGTAGGTGCTCGAGGAAACAACGCGTCGGCTCTTTTGAACAAAATTATAGGTCGTGGAGTATAGTCGTTCTCTACGTGCTTGAGACTTGCGGGAAAGTCTTCGAAGAAAGCCGGTGGGTGGAGACTGGAGCCCCATATGTATTCTCTAGCTCTGTCAAGGTCCCGACCATCCCTTGAATACGGGCCCATGTAGCTTCCACAATCAAAGTCATGAGGTCGTCTGGCGAAGCTAGTCACGCACCAGAGATCAGTCACGTATCCGAGATAAGTTTCGTTGTCAATCTCACTGGGTCCTGTAGGAAGGAGAACATAGTTAGTATACATTTGGGAAACTGATAGTTAGTAGACTAAGGAAATACTGCTTGGAAATCGACAACTTCCTTAACCTCTGTCTGTTCTAGAATCCACCTAGACTGTACTTCTGGCAGAAACTTTTGTACTAACCAAAGAGACGTGCGACATTGTCACGCATGAGCTGTCGCTCAAATACAAGATCCGGTTTTATTTGGAGAGCTAAAAACCTTGGATTATCGTGCTCGACGCTCTTTGAGCTCATGTAGCTTGACGCTGACGAGACACTCCTCGTGCTGATGCGCGAATGAGAACGAAGGGAAACATTTAAACATGGTCGTGACGACTTTTCGGTGGATTTGGGCAGTTGACCATCGAGATGGGCGTATGTGACTGGCACAAACCAATCTTGCACTTCGATACGAGGATAAAGCTCAACCCGTATCCGATAATCGCGAAGACCTTTTCGTGCCTGTCGTGCCGAGTCTGAAAATGAGTCAAGATCTTGAAAGAAACTGTGGTAGAACCTTTCGCAGAGGAGTTTCACTGCCGCACCAGATATGTTGTAGGACATAGCAAGTATCTTGAGAGAATTCTCCATCGAGAAGAGTCGACTCAAATTCTCTTCATTGCCTCCGAATGGATTGGCGGATTTACAAGCATTTAACACAGCGTAGGGAACTTGACGTCGGTGAAGTTCATCCGCAATAGCCTTTGCTGGGATCCCAACTAAATTGTTCTTTGCATCTTCCGAGTATCCTCGCAAGAAACCTTCATGCAAAAAGTGTAGATATGAGGTATTAGAACGTTGTTGATCTTGCCTATGTGGAGTTAGTGACATGGCGAACAGAAAAATGCAATTATGAGGACCTACTTATTCTGAATAGTAACGCGACCATGTACATCGAAGTGAACAATATCAAAGAAGCCCTTAGGACGCGAGTTGAGATGACTTTTGAATGCGTCAAATGTCCCAGGTCTCACTACCTCCAATGCTATGCTGTGGTATGATTTTCTCTCTTCAAGTGTAAGTTTCATGCGCAAGATTACGCTTATGGTCACCCCGAGATCTATATCATAGTAATGGCCATTGTTCTTTTCGAAGCTGCGAGCATACCAACAAAATGTTCACTCAGCCCTTTTCCTTCCGATAAGTTGCTTCTTCAGCAAGGGTGATTGTGGCAGGACCTCCGATAACATTATTTTGAGACGTGACCCTTCTGACTGTGATGATTCGGGCTTTGACTCTGGGCCACAGCTCCTGGTCTTCCAATTGCTCCCAGCGTATCCGGTGGATTGTATTCTCTGTATCCTGTTGGCTGCCCGACTCTCTGATCTCTATGATAATCTTCGCACGCTTCAAATTACCTGAAAACTCCCCGAGTCTCAGTCTTTTGAATAGCTCCTGCCCGTACTCATTTATCAAAATATCCGTCTTTGCTATCGCAGCATTGTATCTCCCTTCATTCAGCATTTCGTTGAGATATACCAAGCAAGATTTGTGGTCCGAAATCGAGCATGGGTCGTCGAAAGTACGCTCAAGCGGGTTCGGGATGTCATCAACTGTTATTTTGACGCGGTAGAAATGTCTCCCATCTTGAAAAGCTTTCTGACAAGTTAGTTGTTGAATGACTATATGTTGTGCTGGGTCTACTTTCTCTTTTGCTCCACTTCCTTATTTGATCCACTTATAGTTCTGCTGCCTAAATGCTTCATGTCTGCCTAAACCTTACACTCTTTATATAAACACCTTAGATAGCTACCTTTTACAATGCAATCAATTCTCCATGACCTTCAGTACCCAATACCCTTTCAACCCAATAAAAGCTTACATGCAAATGAATTTGTGAGCAAACTTGAAAATGAGCAACTCAGTCCAGTGGATCAGATATCTAGCTATCAATTCCCGGCTACGATGAACAACGAACCTGTCGAAATCCGATCAACTGATTCACCCAGAGTACCACTTACTCCAAGGCTTTTGATTTCTGAATCCGACGATTTCTCTTCTAGTGCTGGTAAGATACCTTTTATCATATTATTTGACTAATTTGGTTTCAAGCGAACAATGATAGAGGCATCTTTTGTTCTAGCTTCATCAAAAGAAATCCAAAAGTCTCGAGTAACCTATGAGGCATCTTTTGAGGCTAGAAATGAGCTATCGAATGCCGCTTGTCGTTTATCTTTCCGGTATGACTGAAACTAATAACCGACTTTCTGCAGAACAAGAACACGATAGCATTTTTCGACGGCGTACGGATAGTCCACGAAGGTCAAGGTTAGATGGCCGTCAGGTTTCGGAAGCGCCGCTTTCGGTATCTGATGTTATCGAGTGGAAAGGACGAAGGAAAACTAGACATGGCAAAAATGGTCACATTTTTGATTCGTAGTCGCTTAACCAATTGGGTGAACGAGATCACGTAAGTGAAATCATCAAAATATCAATATTTTGACCGTCATACTAAGAGATTGTAAGATCTTTATTATAGATGATTCCAACTCCATGTCATTTCACTGGAATGAAGTACAAAATACCCTTGAGGCCCTAACCTATATTTTAAAAGGTGTTGTCCCTGATGGAATCGACATATCCCTTGCTACTTCAAAGCAGCAACTCAACGGGATACGGTCGACTACGAAACTTTTAAGATTTCTCGATCAACAGAATGCGAAATTTCTCTTGGAGAAAAGAATGATGGACATCAATTCCAGTATTAGTCCCATCTTGAGGAAGCATACTAATGCGATGCGTGAATGGACTAAAAGTGGATCAACGAAGAGTCCTCGGTCCATCACTCTGTATATCCTGACGGATGGCATTTGGAAGGGGGACGAAAGCATAGATATAAATTTGGACTTACTTGAAAGGGATCTTAACCATTTTAAATACGGAGATCCGAATTCAGGGGTACAATTTATCACCTTTGGTGACGATCCAGTGGGTTCGAGTCACTTAGACCGACTAGATAACGAGCTTCGTGGGTAAGCAAATTTTCAATAATGTATGTTTTTTCTTCGCATCAATGTACTAACAATCACACAGATACAACATTGATGTCACACCATGTCGAGGAAACATCCGGAAGATGCTATTTGGGGTAGGTGGCAGTCAGGGTAGTGAGCAGAAAGATCGTTCGAAGAACCGCCTCCCAGCATTGAAGAATGGTATCCGACGAATCTCGACCACATTATCTATTAAGTCTGGATCAGGGGAGGCAAATGCTGAGAAGAACCTTGCGACCAATCGTGCCGCTGCTTTGCAGCTTAAACCCAGGAATCGAAGACTAGTTCAAGGGCTCTTCGAATTGACGAACCCTCCCCAGCCAACTCTAGAGTAAATCAACCCATATATTTTTTATTCCCTCCCAATTCTGACATTTCCGCTTCTAGTGCTCTATTTGTTCATGGACTTGATGGCGACAGAGAGAAAGACTGGGTGGTTCGCAATCGCAATACTTCTACCCAGATAAATTGGCCCAAAGATTTGATGTACCAGCGATTCCGTGACGTCCGAATCTTGACTTACGGAAACGATTCTGCTCCATGGCACTCTTCATATCCAATCAAGGATGTCATTACTTCACAGGCCCGTGTTCTACTTGAAAGCCTCGTTAAAGTCCGGGAGCATACACCGGGCAGACCATTGATACTTGTAGCGCAGGGTACTGGCAGTCTCCTAACAAAGAGTGCTCTTCTTCAGTCACATCTATCTCTCGACGCAGACGCAACAAAAGAAAAGGCAATCAAACTGTCGACTACTGGGCTGGTTCTATTGGACCCCCCGGATCTACAAATTTCAGGCGAATCGATAGTTCCAGCGATATTAGAGTCCCATGTGGTGGGAGAGTGGTAAAGAAGCCAGGAAATCCACGCCCAAGGATGCGGTTTGGTCGAAGCTCCAGATGGAATCATTCCAAAGTATCTCTGAATCCTTCTCTATAAGACACTTCCATACCTGCAAAATGTCTCATGAATCGTATAAACCTTTCCTGGTAAGCTTCTGACTTAATTTGCATACTTGCTACTGACCATGCAAATAGCCTAGTACTAATTTAACACGCCTACTGGAGGAGCCGAAAAACATTGGCGACAACTTTGAAGCTACGAACAACTCGAGGTTTAGCAAATCATTTGAGGTGGATAGGGTGAATAATTTCGGAAGCGAAGAGGACCAAGATTACCAAGCGATCATACAAGTATTCGAGGACCTGTATCACAAAGCCAGTGACGAAAGCAAGTCTCATTGGTCAACTTACGCAATGGATAAAGGTAAGCTTTCGATTCTCAAAATGGTCATGGATACTACTACTAATTGTATCAAAAAGCATCCGTGGGGTCAAATGAGGTGGGATTTAATAGCTCCGAAGTGGTGAAGATACACCCACCTCGCAATGAGCATTTTACTGGCAGGTACTCAGCCTTAGATGCATTATATGCTGCACTTTTTGGCGCTCAAGTCAGCAAGCAATCAAGAGGAACTGCATCTACCGTGGAGATCTATGGCTCTGCAGGCATGGGGAAAACTCAACTCGCACTAGAATTTATCCATCGATACAACCACAAATTTTCGTCGGTTCTTTGGATTGATTCACAAAACCGCGCCTCTGTTGAAAGAGCGTTCTGTAGGATTGAGCGTAGGCTATCGCGAAGTCCAAACGACAATGCCGAAGCAACACAAGCTTCCAGAATGAATGTTAGTTCCTCTTCGGAGTCAACTAGTAGCGCTGAATCTGCGAGGAGCTCACATCTAACAAGACACCCAAAACGGCAAGCTTTGACCTCTTGTTCTACGGACTTAGTAAAAGCATGGTTAGCGAAGGAAAGTAATTCGCTTTGGATGATGGTTTTCGACGGTGCAGATGACGAACAAAAGTCATGGATCCAAGAATTCTTCCCCAATACCAAGAACGGCCATATACTCCTTACGACTCGCCATCGTGGTCTCTTGAAAGGCAGTACTAATATACATCTGGATCGTATGTCGGAGGAAGATGCTGTAAAGCTTCTACTGGGTTATTGCCCTGGTAGTAAGAGCTTTCTTAACATACCATTTATATCCTTCGCTGACACCGGAATAGCTGACAGACTGACCACTTTGGAGCTCGTGAGGAAACTTGACTACGTTCCACTATCCATAGCACAAGCGGGCAACTACATGAAATCCACGGATCTAAGTCCTACCGAATATCTCAATCGATTTGGAGGTGCTATGCATCGAGATTGGGATGACTATGCAACACGCATGAAATTAGTGTTTTCAACTTCCGTCAACGAGGTTTTTGAGACTAGCTACCAAGAAGTCAAAGCTAAGGACCGTGATGCTCTTGATTTACTGATTCTGTGCGCATACCTAGCAGCTGAGAATATCCCAGAGCTTCTCCTGGAAGCCATCTCAAAACTTTCAGGTATGTCTCTGCATCCTTGTTGTTCGCCATTAATGCGCTGACTCGGCTACAGGGCTTCGCTTAGACGATATAATTGACACCTTGTTCAATAATGGCTTCGGGCATAGGGAGGAGAATTTGCAAAGCTTCCGTATGCACACATTGGTTCAATCATGGCTTCGAAGACGGCATCCTCCCGATAAACAACAGGTACTCGTAAGCAGAGTTCTGACCGGTCTCGCGACTTTTGTTGAATCTTGGCGTATGCGAGACGAAAAGATGTTGCAAGGAGTCGAAACATTGCTCTTTAAACATATTGTTGCGTGTCTCTACCGGGTGGAGAACATCAAGAAATGCGACGTCAGCTGGTGTGTTTTAGGGGACGTCTGCAAACAACATAAACGGTATAGTGAGGCTACTAAACTCCTCGAAATGGGACTCTCGGATCCGGAAATCACTAAAAAGAAAGGCTGCTCGGATCGGCAGCGTCTGGGATTTGAGCTTGGCTCCCTCTATCAAGTACAAGGAAGGAGTAACGACGCAGAGGAGAAGTATGAAGAGATTTTGAACGAGTGCGAACAAGCCCCCCGATGAAAGTGGCAAACATGTTCGAGGTCAGCTTCTCCTCGAAATATACAAATCTCTATCTTCTGTCTATACTCGAATTGGGCGAACACAGAAGTCGATCACAATCTTAAATGATGGAGTGGCGAAGTTTAAAGCGCTATTCGGTCCCAACAGCTTTCAAACTCTACAGCTCCTTGATCTTTGCGCAGCAGAATACTACGATCAAGAAGATTACGCTCAAGCTGAACAACTCAGTCTTTGGATTGTCGCAGCCCAAACCCAAACATTGAAGAGGTTGTTACCGCTTATGGAGAGCATGGGGATGAAGGATGAAGCGAGGCAGTTGACGGTGCAGTGGAGTAATGGATTTGATGGCGCGGTCTAGGGAATAATAGGATGTGGTGCAAGGCGTTGGTGCTAATAGGATTCTTGTAAGTACTAGTGAGTAAAGGGTTTTAGACAAGATTTGTTATAATGATGGCCTTGAGAGCTCACTTCTCTGTTTGAATGCACTACCTACCTAGGTAGGTAGGTACGTAACAACCATTACGCAAAACAAAACATGCACGTTCATGGGTAATGACTGCAGAAGTCAACCTCGAGGTCGATATCAATGTGGAAACCAGTAAAATTTTATACGTATGTAAGACAGAGAACCGTCAAAGGAATTCCATGTTGTACGCAGGACTCTCCAAAGTCTCACAGAACACCCAACTTGGAAGTTCTGAATTTGAGTTCCAATGAAAGTTTATTGCGAAGGGCGAAGGTGAAAATGGGGAGGGGCGACGGCGAGGGGGGGGGCGGTTATACTCTGGACGAGATCACGTCGTGCCTTCCCTCCTTGGGTACCTACCTATAGGTACTCAGGTCTTGCAAGTTGGCATAGGTACCTACCTAGGTAGGTACGATGGCGCGATCCAAAATTTCAGTGCAGGTACCTAGGTATACCTAAGAATCTGGAAGGAACCTGGAACCTGACAAGACGAACCCACCTACAGTTCCTGGTCCCGTGACGTCAACTGGATTTCATTGACGGAAGGTGCCACCTCTCCACCCGACCTCGAATCTCGACCTGACCCTGACCTCGACCTTTCCACCTCAGGCTTACCTGCAGTCAGATGTCTCAGGTCGACCCAAAGACCCAACTCAACCTGACCTCCCGCCACTTTGAACTCATCTGTGGAGTGGACGGGAAGTGAGCGGTCCACGGCGCACCGGAGGTCAAAAGCACGACACAAGAGCACGGTTACTCCTTCCTTACCTTAACGTTACCTTAGAGGAAACCCCCTATATATAAAACGGTAGTAATACGATTGTACTCTGCAACCGTTGTGAATTTGCGCTCCGTGCCATGCCGTAGTGCTACGGTTACAATTTATAGGAGTTATTAGGTACAACCGTTATAACGCTCGCAACAGATGCAAATATCGCTAGTTACAAGCAAATCAACCGTCTATATATATATATCCGTTGCGACAAAGTTAACTAGCTACAAATATCAACGGTTGTTTTGCTTACAACCGTCTATATATATATCCGTTGCGACAAAGTTATCTAGCTACAAATATCAACGGTTGATTTGCTTACAACTAGCGATCTTTGCATCCGTTGCAAGCTTTACAACTGCTGCGCAACCGTTGCGCAGCCGTGGTACAACTATTACAATCGCTAACCAGTTATAATATATAACTAAGGTAGTTGCAATTTATAACAGTATTACTACGGCTACAATTTTTTTTACAACGGTTCTAAATTTCACAACGGTACTACTACGGATTCTAAAAGGGGGGTTTTCCTCTAAGGTAATCACAGTGACTTCAAAATACCTTCTTTTCCACCTGCACCTCCCTAGGTACCTAGGCAGATAAAATCTTCAAGACGTGGGCAAAGTTTTTCGCAATGATTGTAACCCCCATCCATGCCGCCCAAAGTTCAGGTGTTCAGAGGTTTTGGTCTTCCTGGTGTGATGCGTAGCACTCCGATCAATGTCCGTTATCAAGGTGGTAAAGTGAAACATATGTAGGGCCAGATATGTGTCCCTGAGGTGCTGTCAAGGCTGAATTGGGAAAGATGCCTACCTATCATTGCAACGTACGGGATGGTACAGGCGATGATGAATTCGGTGGAGTCTGATAGAGGTGTAGCTTCATTACTGTTTTTGAGATACTCATATGTTATAATTTAGGTATGGTTGAGTTAGATGCTCATTTGGACAAGTGGTGATTTATGGCAATCACCTCTCTTTGGACGCGAGGTGTTTTGTGGAGGAGTTCCAATATCATGGAAACAGATACATTGAAATAGACTGATGATTATTTCCCCATGGCGCCGTTTTAGGTCAAGTTCCTTTGGAAATCCCATTCTCTTGCAAGTCACCTTTCTTCAAATAAGTAGTATTAGACGTTATTCAGGGAGTTCAGAAGAAAATAGACGGTATTTGTTTCTTGGCATAAGGAGATCCTGATCTAATACTTTCTGAGCCAAGATTCTTGATTCCCGATTGAATGAAACAGTGAATGAAACTTGTATTTCGCAAGCATTTACTCACTGCTATAAGTTCAAGTCATGTACTAAAGCGAGCAACAAAAGTAGCTCAAAACTAGATCTTCAAATAGGCTTTTCTTGTGTCATGAAACCAGCCCTAAAAGTAACCTGATAGTGGGACAGGAATAAGATGAGAGAAATGTAAGGTCCTACCGAAAAACTTTGTTATTTCCTCATATCTAGTATCCGCCTAATTAGTGGAAGTATAATAACTTAATGACTTCGATCGTCTTTTGTACTTGATACTAATAAAGCGTCGCATATCTTTCTGGGAAGTATTGAAACAGTACGGATTGTGTGAGGTTCTATGTTTTGATGAAGTGTGTGAAAAGTTTCAAATATTACAACACAAAACAAATCAGATAGAGACAAGAGTATTTCCTGTTTTTCACTCAAATATTATCTTCATAATACTTCTCTAAAACTTTCAAATAATTAAAAATTCGCCTGAAAATAAAAGCGTCTCAAGTCACTAAAAGCGCTGACCACTGTCTTCCGCTAGTACGTGGATGGTGAATGGAGGACAGAACATTCCTGATTCATCCCCCCTTTATCTTGTCGGCTAATTTGCTGAGCCACAAACAACACAAATCCTAATTTTACTCCCAAACGATCTACCAAGACAACCACAACCCCTCAACTGCACAATTACTCAAGCACACAGAACCATAACAATGGCAGCAATGAACCTCAACAATATGCCTATCATCAAGCTCATCTCCTCGGACACCCTAGACCCAGCTGTACGTCTGTTTCCTGGGGTGGTGGAGCTTTTGCGTTTCGTCCCACCCCAGGCTGACTTTGTCGCTGCTGTAAGTTACTTTATTTGAATCATTGAGTGTAACACGTATAAATTGGTCTGAACGTACAGAATATATTCTAACAAACAATGCGATCTCTTAGCCCGTTGTTCCTGCTGCCCTCGCTACCACTGCTGCTGCTGCCGCTCCAAATGCGCAAATGGCTCCAGTAGCATCATCTTCCGCTCCAGCCTCGCAAGCTGTTGTATCTCCGCCCTCAATGGGCAACGGAAGTGCTGCTGGAGCCCTGGTTTTGTCTGCGCCTGCTGCTGCTGCCCCAGTCGCCCAACGACCAGCCCGCCGCCGAGTCCATAGACACCCACTTGAAGAAAAAAAGAGCACAAGCGTGTCAGGCGATGACCGCCGTCGCTTGAGAGAGGCGTTCGCTCAGAACGATCGTCCCACCAAGCAACAGCGTCTTGATCTCGCGCGGCGCCTCCGGCTCAGAGATAATGTTGAACACGGCGCCAGTATCATCAGTGTACGCTCAATTCTTCTGAAAAAATTAATCCCGGTCTCAATAATTCTCTAACACCAACAACAGGTACAGTTTTCTGAATTCCGCCGTGGATAAATGGAAAGGTTGAACCATGGGTAACAGCCCTCTAATACACTACCACTACTTTATGAATACAAGCTGACTTGTCGAGTCGTTCACCTCAGATGTCGGCTCTCTCAGCTAATGTTCCCTTTCTCCTCCTCGACCATATCCCTCGTATCCTCTCAATCCAGCTCATCGACCATTGTGCCCCCTACTTCAAGCGGCCCTGTCCAGGCAACAAACAACATTATCAACCAGAAGACCGACTCGTCTAGATCTCTCTACCAGATATTTGTGAGTCTGCGTAGTCGGTTAGCCTAGGCCCCCAGTTTTGGTTGACAAATAGGTGGCTTGTTGCAGTGGGAGCGAAGTTGGAGCGAACACAAAAGGGGAGAGCTAGTCATGTTGGTACACAGGTTTCAGGTTCAATGTATCCAAGCGATGTTACTAGTGAGCCTTATATGCCGTCTTATCTTGTCATTGGGAAAGTCATGTTTTCTTTGGGATGTTATTTCTGGGTTCTTTTTCGGGGTGTCCTTGTCTTTTGCGCTGCTTTCGAGCAGTCAGTCATTATTTTCGAGAATCAAATGGCACCTTCGATTCTTCTTCAAAGTAATGAATCTTGAAACGTGTGAGAGAGAATATTTTATTCGTGACCGCACTCTGCCAGGCGAATACAGTACTCGACGATTAAAATACTTTTTCGCTTCCTGATCCTTGAAGCAGCTGAGATTTTGATACATGTAGGCTAACCTACACAAAAGGCTGTCAAACCGCCTTTGATAATGATCTGGCGAGAGTGCTTTCCATGCATCGACAAGTCTCCGAGGCGTGCCGCTCAAATCATATATTTTGCCCAGTGGATTCCGCCAAGTTCATAAAGAACAGTATTATGTGGGGATGGGAACAACTTGAGGTAACCATAAATTGATACAATAGCTACAAAAGTAAGGAGCCGAAATGCTGGATGTCCAAATTTTAGTCAAGAGACACCAAGCGATGTCAACAAAATGATTACAGCTCCGATTATCTCTACTGGAAGTCTACAACACAAAATCCCGATGCTTCAAAGGTCGTGTTTGAAAGGTTTATCCTGTATAAAGACTCAGGAATACCTTAATTTGCCTCTTTGTGTGTCGTTTCTCTTTCTGGGTTGAGGATAGTCTTGGTGAAGACACCCAAGCTTAGATTCATAATCCCAATATAGTTAGCAAGGAGAGGTATTCCGCCACTAAGTAATTCAGTCTGGCTACCACTTACCCCACTTACATACACCGCATCCGGCTGAAGAATCTTTATTCGTAATTGGTCCTGGTATGTGATTTGTTGTTGGAATAGCATGCATATACAGGGTATTGATGCACACTCTGCTCACACTCCTGGCGCTACAGTACCTGCGAGCCTGCATACAGTTGCATACAGCCACCATCAAAGTGAAATGGTGTGGTATCAAAAATACTGATGTCAATTTTCTACTCAGATTATATTTGTACTAGCATTCATAAAAAGTATATCAGCACGGGATTTACTTACCTTTCCTTTGTGTTTGATTATTCATACACTGTTTCCTAATAATGGGGCACTACAGCATATATTAGCTAGGAGTTTTATGCAACGGAATGATTTGGTTAGCTTCTGGGAGATCGTATATCGATATGATCATAGGATTTTGCGATCTTGACTTCTCATCTTTATTTCATTGAAGCCCTCGTTATAGCCTTCTTGCAATCGTGAAATTTCACGGCATTTGGGAGGTAAGCTTCCTTTCACGCGTCGTTTCCTGTCTTATTGTAGAAAGTTTCTTCACTAACAAACCCCTACGACATTGCCCGGGTATTATTAGACGTGCTTCATATGCACGAAATCTCGGGTGTGTGGGGTACAATTTCACAAGCAGCCTCCCCATACGGCGCAGTAATTGCATCCAATGACTCGAGTAATTTCAAAGGTGTTGGTGGCACAGTAATTTGATGTTACCATTCCCATAACTGCGCCCTACTCGATTGTCCAATCAACTACTCCTGAATTAGTACCTGTGGTAGGCAACTGCCTCCTTATTTTGACTCCTCGCCCAGTTTTGGTTTCATCTTGAATCCCTTCAGAATCCCTTCTTTCTGTTCTGTTTTTGAACCTATTCTTCAATTTGAGGAACAATGCTTTCGTTCAATTGTCACAACCTTCCTGCATCGTTGATGTGTGAGTGCGCTCGGATCTATCTTGACATCAAATGGGGTTTTAAGTCTCTGAAATCCGTCAGGTTCTCGTCTAGTGAGTTCAGTTTCATTGCACATCACTACGCTGAACAACGGTTGAGAAAAGGCTGACGGACTAGGTACAATACGAATAACATAACCGAACAAGTTCGACACCCGTGTATCGTTCTTCGAGGTGACTCTTTGGCCTCAAGAATACGATAGAACGATCAGATCCTTAAAACGACCGCAGTATAAGAGAATGCCAGAGTGAAAGTGGAGAGAACCAATTTGATCCTTCTCAGCAAGCCGCAAACAAGCGACTATGTATATCCGCTAAGGATATCTAAAACCCGCGATATTCATTGAGTTACTAATGCGTCAGTCAATCCTGCTATTGGGACTCTGCACTCAATATCAAAGGGCTTCTGGCGCCGTGATCGGGCATTCAAACGACCCTTCCCTCAGTCAACCCAAGCTCCAAAGAAGACAGTCAGCTGCGACTGCAACAGTAACTCAAACACCAACACCTTTGCTAAGGACCGTAGTCTTCTCAAGTACTCGATCCTCGTCAACGACTGTCATAAAATCGGTCTCCTCCAGTATCCCACAAGGAGTCTCCATCGCACAGAGTGCCACCAATGACCCAGCACCTCATATTCCCGCCACGACCATACCTCATTTGACATTCAACACACCCATTAACAATATAAATCAAACAACAATAACCACACTTTCTCTGCGGTCAACCCAGCAAGATTCCTCAAAAAATAACTCTCACTTCGGGACACGCCAAAAACAAATCCTAGCGGTAATTATCGGGGGATTCATCGCCTGAGTCATTTTTATCTATCTCCTGGTATCAAAACGCAACTTCGTCGCTGTACTGTTCCATAAAATTTCACTCAAGATGCCGGGTCTTTGCATAAAGATCAAGTCGAAATCTGGCGGAAACCGCAGTTCAGGTTGGTGGAGTAAACTACCGTTACCCAGATTTGGAGTGGAGGAGTTACCCGCCGGCCGCCAGTATATGACAGTGGAATTGCCAGCTTCAGATGTACATCCTGTGTTCGAGTTGCCTGCTAGTAGCATACATTGAGGAAATGAACACAATGGAGCGCCGGATAGAGATAACTTTCGAAGTAATACCGGCTTTGTCGAAGAACTTATCGCTGAGGAACCGAAAGATTCGAAGGGCAATAGTAGCACACAAATGCAACAAGCTCTTTCTCATCTGGGAGAACTCGATTGTAATCATAAGATGGGAAACCTAGAAGCCATGGAAAGTCTAACAAGCGAAGAATCGCCAATGTTGAAATCTCAATCGCAAGAACTAGATGGCAGTTCTACAAGAGGAACAACTGAAGCCAACGCAGAACAGCTCCTTCCTTCCACTTCATTGAAACCAAAAAGAAGGGAAACATTGCCACCACCACCTCTTCTACCCCGTCCAACAAAAAGGACAAAGGTACCAGAGGTTGACTTTCGCCTAATCTCACGCAAAGGCTCGACTACGCTACTAACCTTGGATTTACCCACCTCGCCCATCGGTTTGTCACACTGTCTCGATCTTTTTCCAACTGGAATACCCGAAGAAACAATAGCACCAAAAAGAACTCCTCCCATAGTACCATTAAGACCAGTGAGATTTAGAAAGAAGGAACCAACCAATGATGAGGAAACCATTCCGCCGGAAGTCACAGCAATTCCACCGCCTCCTTCTCCGATGAAAGACAACGTGAAACCTGAATTGTCACCTAGACCTATTTCTTCGCCTGATCCTGAATTTGCTGGGGTTCCTGATACAGCGGGACCAATTTTCAGTTCCAACTTCTCTTTCTCCTCGCCCACATTCGCAACACTTAGCGATTACGAAATCCATTCACAAAAAAGACGCCCCATCCCCTCACCATCTCCCATTAATCCCACAATAAGCGCCAATAAAAATTCCATCGCAAGTGCTAATGTTGGAGCTGAAATCCCAAAATTCACGGCACCTCCAAGTCACATACCTCCTCCTCCTCCTGAATCAACACCAGAACAATCAACCGCTCTATCAAAAGGATATAGAAGAAACAAGCCCATCCTGACCGAAGCAGAAACAATAAACATCTCACCAGATATTAAAGTTCCACACGCCTCACCACCACTTTCGCCCAAGCAGCTAAACAAATTCGTCCCTTTGGTTACGTTTACGCCTCCTGCTGCTCATCAACGACCTTTAGACCAAGACCTACCGACCGTCTCCACGTCACAGAGCAACAATCCTACATACCCACCACCTCTTCTCTCTTAGGCCCCAGCAAATAACAACGCGATATCGAATGTGAAATCCAGGGCTTCGTCGTAATTGAGTCACAGAGAACTAGCTGAGTTGGCGGGAGCCTTTGCTCCTACCCATCCTGGGTTAATAGGTGATAATACGGGTGGGGAGATGGTCAGAGCGTGGGTTTATCGATAGTCGATTGTTTCTACAGATTGATGTGGGAAAAGGGAAAGGCGACTGGAGATATTCATTCCAGTTACGAATTAATAAATTGGGAATCTTTGAAACGGGGCTATAGGAGCTTCTGGGATAAAACAATAGAGATGCAGTATTGTTTAAAATGTGTAGTAAGTAATAATATGTAGATTTTCTTGGGAAATTCTATTTATTATATTATATCTAGGAATATATGAAGAATATACCCACCTTTGTTTGGAATACGCTAACTAATCCCAAAGTAGCTAAACAGGGAGTCAAAATCAGGCTAGCAGAGTCGCAGACTATAATCTATGTGAAGAGAGGGGTTTAGCAGAACGATGTCCGAGGAAACCTCCACAAAATAACCATTTTACACAAGAACAAAATGGTCTTTGATTCCCGTAGTTTCCTTACGATTAAAAAGCTAAAAGTAAGATCTTGGGGTATTTAACTTATATATAAATCGCTAGACTAATCTATCCTTTCAATTCCTCTTCCCCTTAGAGTTTTGCCACTGTAATCCCTATGCGAATGATTCGCCCAAAAGTCATTTTATTTACCCCGATAAACATCGCTTAATACAAGTAAACCAATTCCCTAATAAGATTCACAAACCATTCTATACTTTGCTTGAATGAAAACTTTTCTGTATATTTCATAAGTAAAACATATCTCTTAAATCCAACTATAGTAGAAGCGAATGTATTGATGAGTTTTCGTCGCTTCTTGACAGCTTGCCCACTACCCACTTTTTACAAGTATATAATCTGTGAATGCTCTGTATAATACTGATACAATGGCTGACCCCCACGCAGAAAAACAGAGGGCTAAGAAATCCAAAACTTTCCTGGGAAGGAACTGCGAAAAGTACGTTGGTTTACGATAAATAACGATTAAGAATTTACAAGAGGTCAGTGAGTTAATCATGAAAAAGCGACCAGGAAACTGGAAAACATATCCACCATCTTTGAGAGAGTTACTGGTCTCAACTATCACTTTACGCAAAATAATGATTAACAAGAGGTTCGTCATCCCTACTTCTATCTATTCACTAAGAGGTCCACCCACAATCCATGCCCCAAACCTCAGGCCCCAACAAATTATTTCGCTCCCGCCATCGCGGGGCATCACCTCCAGCTCCCCAAACAAAAAAGTACCCCTCAACCCCAACCACCAAAAAAAACCTCTCACCACCCAACACTCCCCCGTCTTCCAAAATGTCCAAATACGGCGTCCTAGTAATGGGCCCAGCCGGCGCCGGAAAAGTACCACTTCCCCCCCTCACTCTCAACCCATCAAACCTAACCACCCCCCAGTCCACCTTCTGCACCGCCCTAATCACGCATCTAAACCACAACCGCCGCTCCTGCTTCTACATCAACCTCGACCCCGCCGCCGAATCCTTCACGCACGAACCCGACCTCGACATCAAAGACCTAATCTCGCTCGAAGACGTCATGGAGGAGATGGGGCTGGGTCCGAACGGAGGTCTGATCTACTGCTTCGAATTCCTACTCGAGAATCTCGAGTTCCTGACCGAGGCTATTGAGCCGCTGACGGAGGAATACCTGATTATCATTGATATGCCGGGACAGATAGAGCTGTATACGCATATCCCCATCCTGCCGGCGCTGGTGAAGCATATCACGAAGACGGGGGCGTTGGATGTGCAGCTTTGCGCGGCGTATCTGCTCGAGGCGACGTTCGTGGTGGATCGGGCGAAGTTTTTTAGCGGGACGTTGAGCGCGATGAGTGCGATGATTATGCTGGAGATTCCGCATGTGAATATACTCAGCAAGATGGATTTGGTCAAGGGACAGGTTTCGAAGCGGGAATTGAAGAGGTTTTTGGATCCGGATACGACGTTGTTGGATGAGGGTGTGAATGCGGGGGTTGATGATGGGCAGGGAGAGGTTGCTGATACGGATGCGTTGATGGGGGGCAAGAGTTTTCAGAGGTTGAATAAGGCGGTTGCGGGACTGATTGACAGTTTTAGTATGGTTTCTTATTTGAGACTCGATGTGCAGGATGAGGATAGTGTGGGGGCTATTCTGAGTTATGTTGATGATGCTATTCAGTATCATGAGGCGCAGGAGCCCAAGGAACCTAATGATACTGCTGAATTGGAGATGGAGGATGGTGATTGAGTAGTGACCTCTGGTTTGTTTACTTGGGCTCAATCTGGTATACCTGGGCTCAATCCAGTTTAGATTTGGGTCTGATCTTTTTCAGGAGTTTGGTACTGGAAATATGGGGTAAAAGGTGCATAGCGTTGGCGTTATTTCATGAGAGTCGTCTCGATAATTCAAGAGATACCATATGATCGTATCTCATCCAGTCCAATCCTCTCAGACCGCTGGAGATTCACAGACACAGTAGTTTCTCACCACTGGCACATCATAACCTCCACCAAAACAAACCCCCTCTCCAAAAAAGACAGTTACTACCGCAACTCACTCCCCCCGTTACTGCTAGCCATATAATCTCTACCCCCAAACTCCCCACCACCCTGCCCCTTCTGATACCTCTCATACTCCCTCACCCACACCTCACTAACCACCCCCACCCACCCGGCAATATCCCCCACCGTCCTCTCGAGCCCCCTCTGATAAACCAACGCACCCACCAACCCAATCCCCGCCCAGAACACCAGTCTCATCACCACCCACACCCAGAAGGCAATCACCCTCCGTATAAACGCCAACACCTTCAGCGCCACAAAGAGGATGAACAAAAAGACGACGACGGAGACGATGGCGGGCTGTTGCTGGGCGTATTGCAGGGCAGTGTTCAGGGACGGTACGAGGAGCGGGTAGGTGGTTTGACGGAGGGTGGTGATGGTTGTGAGGACGGGTGTGAGGACGGGTTGAATGTAGGGTTCGGAGGTTTGGTAGGCTTGTAGAAGGTAGGGTGTGTATTCTTTTTCTCTGTGTGTTAGCTGCTTGTTGGCATTGGAGTGGGAAGGACAGACTACTGACCTTGGAGGAGATCCATGGTTGGGGACGGTGTGCGCGGATGCGCGGGGTTTAGCTCGTATGTAGAGCTTTTCGTCTGTTCTTCGTGGTATCGTACAAGTTGTGCAAGTTGTGGGAAAAGTTGGGACGGTGGGCTCGTGCGAGGGTGTGAGGATGGTGTTGACGAAAGCTCTAAGCTCTTGTTGTTCATTTTTGGAAGAGGAAATCTGGGGTCGCGACTGGGATATATCGGACTTTGTGGCACGTGAACCTTAAATTGTTTCTGGAAAGTGCGAGTCTTGGGTGGTCCGCCGGTGTTGCTCTTTCTTCGGCATACAACATTTCTTTTTGAAGAAGAGACACTTGGAAATGTCGTAGGAGGCTGATTTTCTTCATGTCTTGCAGCGGAAAGCTACATTTGACCCGCTTACTCCTGTCTCCTTTTCCCACTTCAATCCAAGTAAACACCAAGGCAGTGTTACATTGAAACAAGTGGTAATCATTCCAACCAACCGGGTATTGATTCTGGCAAAAGGACTTTTGCCGAACTACGATTTCATTATATCCTCGTGCCCTGGAAGTAGATTCCTGTATTAGTATATTAATATTGCTACAGTAGATTGCTACGGTACAGAGACCTGGTCAGCGGCTATTACTCTGTCCGTACTACTTATAAAGAATGATCAGACCAAACTAAACGTCTGGCACAAGAAAGAAACTCCATTGTCCTATATCTAGGCTATTAAGAAGTAAAAAGCAACAGTTACTTTAGATTATTTGTATGATCCATTTTAGTTGTGTACGAGTATGGCTTTTAGGGAAATCTTGTTCTAATCCAGGTGGTACATACAGAGTATTAACCACATCTTACAGCAACCACGACCCCATAACAAAAGACAAGATCTCGCAAATCTTCATTAAATTACATCATCTCAACTGATTCTCTTCTACCCAACCAACAAATTATATAACTAAGAGCGAAAAAGCCTTCGCAATATCCAGAATGCGCCACCGCTATGCTTCGCCAAAATCCAAAGGCCAATCCCCCCAACTCATACCACTATTCCCATCCCGCGAGAACACCGTCTCGATCCTGTATATCTATCCAACCCTACCCATTCCCATTACAAATATCATCGCTTTCGTAGGTATCATCATACTAGGTCATCAATATCATCGTCATCCCATCCCAGTGATTTATATATCGAGTCACTTTGTTGCTGTAGGGTCTTCATCGTACTACTTTCCACCATTTGAATAATCTCCTCCACTCCCACCTTCCTGCTATTTTCCTGGTCAAACTTTGGGGAAGATGCTGGATGTCCATGGTCAAAATTGGTCGAAACCGACCTGTTCTTCACTGGTGTTTCCTGAACACCACCATGCGCGGCCCAAGAAGCAGGGGCTGCTTTCACAGCTGAATCAGGAATGGCCGCGAAGAGTTGAGCACTCGAACGTCGTATATGACACGGCGATAAAGGAGGAAGTACTGGTTCTCTGTCACGGCCGAGATCCATCATACTAGATGGTCTTGACAAGCTCTTGCGGGTTGGCGTTGCTTGGATGGAGGAGAACCGTGGGTTCCTCGGTGAAGCTTTTAGGACACTCGACTGTGGTATTCGTAGGGCGCTTGATGCCGGAACAGTATCCAACTCTTTTTCGCGTGTCTTTTGGTGAGATTGCTGCTGCTGGCGCTTGGAGAAGACATCTCTGGATCGATTCGTTTTTGGTGTTGCGGAAATCTGAACACCCTGGAAGAGGGGGTTTCTTACGGGCTTCTTGGATTCTACAACTTCCATTAGCAATAAGTCAAGATTAAGCCGGAAAAAGAACTTACTTCGTGGATGAACAGAGGACGTTGACCGCCTTTCGGCAGTCTCAACCATAGACTTTGCAGTAAGTTCCCGGTTAGGCTTCTTCAATGCCGATATAGCGTCCTTGAGTTCTGCATCTATCTTTGCCTGTTTACTCTCTTTCGTCGTTTTCGAAGAAACAAGACTTCCCAAGTCCACCTCCCTGCGAGCGAGTTGCTTCGATTTAATAATTCCTTGGGAATCCGCGAATGGAATTCCCGACAACGATGGGGCTTCACTGTTCTCTCGCTTAAATCCCGGAATGGATGCAGATCGCAACAATGAGATGCCCCTTTCAGGACCTCGGGATATGCTTCTCCTTTCTCTTTCGTCTGTCAAAATACGCTGCAAGCTTTTACGTGGTTTCACTGGCACTGGCCGCTTTGTCGCGGCACCTGGCCGGGCTGGAGCCCCAGAGAAACTGGCTGATTTCGATACTCTTGGTTTTGGTGGAGACATGGCCACGGGACCTCCCAGTTTTCGATTGATGATAGCACATCGCTCCGGGAGACGAGCCGAAAAACTGTAGAGGTTAGACCAGCACAGCGGTTTGAATCATGACAAACCTACAAAGGGGCGATTATTTCGACACAGAAATCACGGAGAATATTATCGGTGTGTCTTGGTCCATCGGTTGCACCAACAGTCTCATGTGTTTGACTATCCCTAGAGGGTGCGGCTCCGCCAATTTCGAGCTGAATCGATTGCCAAATGCACAATCGATCAATATGCACATCAAGTAGCACTGACAGGAAATCAGACTTCCTCTTTTTACTTGACTTCTCTTTTGCCTGTGGCGTCTCAGATTGAGGAAGGGTCGAGGGTAAGCCATCGTCTTCCTCTGGCTTGACTACTAGAGGCTGAAGTGCAAGCACTTCCAAAATAATAATTAACTGGAGTTGTGTTTCTCTAATACGAAGTTGAGATATCCGGCTCTTGGTGATTTCGTCTCTTGAATTGGCAGGACCTCCCGTGTCCGCGTCATCATCGTGGCTTGCCCACCATTGGCGAATCAAATTCTCCTCAGATGGATAAAGCCCGTTTTTCCCCGGCTTAATGTTTTTCGAGCTCTTTCTCTTTTTCGCTTTGGGGTTCTCATTGGCACTATCTTCGATGTCTATCATAGAAACGCATGTTGGTACTCCGTCACGGTATTTCTTGTCAACTTGTGTGGTTGACAAAACAAGGCCCTCTAAAAATGTAACAAGGTCGCTCATTTCAAGGTTAGAGTCGTAATCCAGGTGAAAAGCCGCCCGGGCTCGAGATAAAGGGCCTTTGGCAAAATAAGCCAGGGACGCCTGTACAGCATTAGCATTGTACGTGAAGTTGGATGGCAACAACATACCTTGGAAAGATAAAGTGCTTCCAGGTACTGCGTCCGGACATTATCAAGAATTTCTGTGGATGTAAGTTGAACATGTGGTTTTTCTACAACCGGGACATCCACGGGCGCATTCAATAGCTGTGACTCTGTATTTTGAGCTTCCAGAGGTTGTGAGCCCTCATTGGCTGGCTGGAAGTCGCTCGACATGGCGGTGGATGGTCGTTTCACCATGGACTGAAGTGCCTCTATTGCTAATCTCTTCTCTTTATCATATTTGCGTGTTTCCGAAGTGGTTATGGGAGCTGCGTTGTGTTGAGTCGGGACTAAACCAATTCCAAATCCCTTCTCTGGTCCCCTTGGCACTTCTTGCCATGATGCGACCGAAGCCGTCCTTAATTGATGTAAGTTAATCCATGATCCGAGTCGACATAAAACATATAATCCCCGGTCTTCTCTCTCTACCGCATATAAAGTTCTCCCATCGTCAAGTCGCGCGATCAATACCATTGGCTCATTACCCATCCGCTCCTCCAATTCTAACAATTTCACATGCGTTTCGAACAGTCTGGATTGAGGAAGAGCGCTTGCTGAAGGAGTAAAGTCAAGATATGCGAGAGGTAGACAGGACCGAGGTAGTAACATGAGGGGTTGGAGAGTTCGCGGCTTTACGTATACCGTGGTGGGATATGGCTGGTGGTTGTGAGCTACCATACTTTGCTTTGCGCCAGGCAAGGAGATAGACAATTGCTGACCTTTACTACAAATGTATCTCTTAACAAATCTTCCATGGTACTGCCATCGCGCTTCCTCTTCTTGGCACCCGAGGAACTGGGCAGACACGGGGCATCACTCATGTTGAGCGAGTGATCTGAAGCTGGAGTAAGAATACCGGAACGCGTTGAGTGGTGGTGACACGCGTCGGACAGTGGTAGGTCATATTGGCTCGACATGATGGAAGGCAAATAGGAATATGAAGTATGTTTGTCATGAGCTCATGATACCCGGGTATAGGGAATGATCACTCAATTGCACGTAAGGCTGGTGTAAAAGTGGTCGAGGTAGGTATGATAGTCAGATATGGTTCAAGGCGTCGTGCACGGGACTGGTTGCGGTACAGAAAACGCGTCAAGAAATGGCTGCGCGCGACCGAAAATTGAACTCGCCAAGGTCGAATCGGCATGCGACAGAAGCCGATTCGGCAGCGCTCCGAGTGTGGGGTAAAGGTGCCCGTGCACCTGTACCAATCTCATCACGTAATCAAGCCCATGACGTTTTGCGAGCTCAGGTGCTGCTTGTTGAATCGGGGAGTGGGATGGGCGGACCTGGAGTCTACAAGGTACCTATACGTTATATTGTAGTCTCATAAGCTAGCGGTGTGTGCAGGTGTCCTTCGGGAGGTACGTCTTCTACCTACCTGGAAGTAATACAAAGAACAGCTTAAGCTAAGTTCTTTACCTAAACCTAATCAAGATTTAGTATATGATTATATATAATAAAGAGAAGTACTTCTATTACTAATTCAATAGGTATTAATCTTTCTAGAAATACCTAGATATTGATCTTTCTAGAAATACCTAGGAAATATATAGGTAGTCACGTTCTAGTCGTGTGACTATATATCTCCTTAGTCAAATTTAGTACAATTAATAGCTTCGCAGTGCCAAGGTGTCAGAATTGACCTGCATTTATGTAGGTACGTTAAACAATTCTACGCGAGGGTGCTTAATCCTGGTCAAGAGTTCCGCCGGGCGGTGCAGGAGATAAAGTAGCCGCTGCCAGTGCCAGTGCCAGTGCCAGCAGTTCCCGTCGCACTAACGGACGAAATCCTTAGCATGCGTGGCAGCTGGAGGCTGGTATCAACCGTTGCCATGTCAGAGTCACGTACCTACGTACCTACATACCTACAGTACATACAGTGCCTACTAAGTTCACTGTCCAATAGATATTCTCTAGTCCAATGTAAGCACTCTCGCTCTCGCCACGTGCCTGATCCCGCAATCATCGCAACTGGTGCGGTAGCGGTACTCGTCATTCTTACTATAAGAGCCTCAGGCCTGAACAACGAGGAACGAGTTAGCAGAGCCTCTTACGCCAGCTAGCTAGTACTAGAGACCATATAAGGCCTATAAATCGTATATAGTAGGGTAGTTAAGTAGGATAGTGGAGTAGTTAAGTAGGATAGCGGAGTAGCTAAGTATATACTAGTAAGGGCGATAATACCTAAAATTACAAAATAATAAAAACGCTAGTATCTTTACTAAGAAAGTAAATATCGAAAAGATAATAGTACTAATAGAAAGCCCTAGATTTATAGATATAATTTTATACTAAGCTTATAATTTTTAGTTAACTTTCACCTACTATACTTATAGAGTAGCTAAGTATAAAGTGGATACTAACTAGGTATATCTGACTAATAATCGTTAATTACCCTTTTAGGTAGTTAACAGGGGGGTACTAGCTAGCTGGCGTTAGGGGTTCTACGAGCAGCCGCAGGCGTCTGTGCTCGCCAGGCCCGCTTTAAATTAGGATGGGTACTCGTACAGGCAAGGGGAATTGCCCATGAACCCCGCCGGGACTTTCTTTATAGAAGTACGAAGTCAATTACTTAGTACCAACGCATCACCGCCGCTGCAGCTTCAAATTTCCCCGAGGTTCACCAGACGCTTTCCTGGCCGCTCACTGGCTCGAGACTGGCCGTGACCACCGACCAGGCTCGACCCTACAGGGAGACTGGCTCAACGGAGACCATCTCAGACGGACTGCTTGAACCCCGGAGAAAGCGGGTAACGAAGAAGTCCAACGGTAGGTTGAGTGTACTCCCAAGCACTTTGGGTGACCTGCGCCAGATCCCCGGGAGCTGTCGTTGCTGTTGGGCCACAACGAATCATGACAGCAAGGCTGGCACTTTCATCAACTTCCTCCCCAGCGTCCCAAATCTACCCAGTATTCTGGTACGATTGTGTGTGTCCACGTCGCACAATCTGAGCTGTCCCCTACCGCCACCGCTACCGTTACCGCTACCGCTCCCGCTACCTTGCGAATGCCTTCCCCTTCTCCCTCCTTTACGTGATGAATCCTAAGATCGCGCCGAGGTCGCTGTTGCCCAAAACGGAGCCATCCACCCCATCTTCATCCTCCGTCTCCCTGGATACCAAAAGCGCAAACAATGGCAACGCCAACGCCAATACCAACGGCAATGGCGAGCTAGCCCCCAAGCGACGATGTATCTCGAGTGCATGCATGCCGTGTCGCAAACGCAAGTCCAAGGTTAGTCAGAAGAGATTACCGACATGAACAGGTTGATCTGCGCAGAACGATCGCCCGCAGTTTTCCAATGGCTTGCTTTTTCCATGCACCCGCTAACCGACACAGTGTGATGGAATTCATCCCTCCTGCCATGCGTGTTCTTCAGTCTACCACTCGGTAAGTTCCAGTTCCTTCAAGTAGAAGCCCTTCGTTTTGGGGGGTAACTGTTAGAGCCGAGACACTTTGCGACATCGACACTGCTCTTATCGATACGCCTCCTATACTCCCCGAATTGGCTCAAAGAAGTATACTGACTCTCATCAAGGCCTGCTTCTACGATATAGACTCAGACCATCGTCGGAAGGGCGCCTTGAAGCGGGACATTGCGCAGCTGAAAGATGATCTAGGTCCTCGAAATGCCATCTTGGAAGCAATTCGGAAGGGTTCCGAAGCCGACGTCGATGATATTGTGCAGTTGATTCGTTCCAATCCCGACGATACGTGGGATTCCATTGCCGAAGGCGTCAAGAAGATCAGCATATCAGCATTGCAAAAGACTGCGCCATCCTCATACCTCGAAGGAGAGTTGCAGGATTTTGCCATCAAAACATCCACCAAGCTGGGTAACATCCGTCAGTATGGTCATACTTCGAACTTGTACCTCTTGGAAAACGACGATGAGACTGCCAACCTAGGACGAATGTATTATGGGAATTGGACCAATGTCACCAACAACCACGAATTCATTCGACATCTCTTGGACGTGTATCTGTCTTGGGGCCACCCAATGTATACATTGTTCTCGGAAGAGATATTCTTACATGGGATGCAAGATCGAAAACTCAAATACTGCACACCTCTCCTTGTCAACGCCATCTTAGCAATAGCCTGTCATTTTTCGGACCGACGAGAGGCTAGGGCGAATCCCAATGACCCTTCATCCATTGGTGATCACTTTTTCGCCGAAGCAGTCCGCTTACTACACGAGGATGGTAGACCTTCACTCACCACGGTTCAAGCGCTGGGGATTATGTCTTTGCATCAGGCGATGAACAACCAAGATAGTAGTGGATGGAGTTACTTGTGTCAGACGATGGGCATGGTCATGGAACTTGGCTTACATAAGGACCAACCTGTCCCAACAAACGCAAATGACAAGTTTACCGATTCGGAAGTAGCTGCGCGTAGAATAACCTTTTGGGGATGCTACTATCTCCAGACTGCCTGGGCGGTCTGTGTTGGACGTCTCTCGCTCGTTCCCTGGACAGCGATCAGAATGGATAAGCCAGTAATTCTAGACCATTTAGAACGAAAACCATGGAGGCCGTATGGTACTGCGGCAATGTCGAGTGGAAATAATCGTTTGGAGCAGCCAGGTCTGAGATACACTTTGCTCCTTCATCTGAGTCATCTCTGTGAGATCGTGGACGATATAGTCCAGATGTTTTACGCACCAAGAGATCGAATCACCAGCCGCCGGCTGCAACTTCATCATGAGAAGCTTCAAGCTTGGTACAAGGGATTACCATATAATTTGGCAATCAAAGAAAACTCGCCCACATTGCCCCATGTGATAACTCTACAGTATGATATTCTATGTTGAACATCAAGAAATGCTAATATAGTCTAGTGTTTACTATCATACATGCGTTATCCAATTATTCCGCCCCTTTATACGGGTTTCTTTCGTCAATTCTACCAAAAATCCTCGACAAATATGTGGGGAAGCTGCAATCAGAATATCTGAAGCAATGGCCCTATATAAGGCAACTTACGGTTTTAGTAAAATGTGTTTTATATTCACTCATTGTTGCATGACAGCAGCCATTATTCATCTGGTCCGAGTGACTGGGGCCAATCTTGCCCCACACGTTATGGACGTGACATCTAAATATGTTGCTGACGCCATTCGGGCACTCTACGATATGCTTCAAAGCTTTCCTATTGTGGAAAGATATCTCAAAGCTATCCGAGCATTGGTATTAAAATGGTTTGCGTTCAAAGATATACCTCCATCCATCATGGAAGCCATGATGGAAACCGACATTGGTTCTCCCAGCTCTACGCATTCAAACGTACCTCCCGTCATGGCTCAGGCATATCAGACAATGCCTGATCGCAAATCTTCAGCGCCCGATCTCTTCTCGGAACCATATGCTCAACAACCAGAACACCCCAACCCCAATATGATGTCAGCTCAAACTTTCAATCAACAAATCTACTGGACGCCATTTCCCAATCAGGCAGATGGACTTCCACTCGCACTGCCAGTAGACAACAATCCCATCAGTCAGCTTATGGATATCACCAGTATGCTTGACTCTGGGATTGATGGCGATTGGCCTCAACTCAATCGTGATGGGTTTACGATGAGCGGAGAGGACGAGGTCGCATTCTGGGACGTCAGTTGGGACAACCCTGTTTTGCATTAGTTCTTTGTGTTTTCCTTTTTCTTTTGTCATATATTCTCACTACATACGTGACGCTTCTTTCTTTTGTTGCCTTCATATATAGAGGTTTAGGCGGGTGGTATTTTTTGGCATGCCTCTCGAGGCTATTTCGGAATTGGAAAATGGTGGCTGCATATTCATTTCAAGGCGTTCGTTCTATTATATCTCTTTAATGTTTTCTGTGTTTGTATATATACAGCATTGACGGGCTATTGTAATTAGGCTTGCGTGGTTTACCTTGGAAAAATAGAGATGGGGAAGATGCAAGGAGGGATGGCTGTAATCAAAATCCATTTACATATTGATACCCAAGCCAAGCCAGAATTCCCAATGGTGTTACATGAAGAGCTGGCCAATCCAGATGCAGAATTGAGGAACGAGGTTCTCAGTTCGGATCGGAAAATATAGATCCGACGGACGGGCAACAGTTCCCATTGGAGGGAAAAATAAGGTTCCTTTCGTTCCCTGCGCCCGGGAGGACTTGACCCTTGGATTGAGGCTGCTGCTGCTGCTGCTTCACATGCGCGCATAACAAGAGGACCTATAGCTGACTACTCGTATAGCTTGATGTAGCTTAAAAAAACAAAGCTATATCTCACTCACCCTCAACCTCAAGTTCCCCTTTTTGCCACGTCCCTGTTGGACTCAACCCCATGGCGTGCCCCTAACTCGCTTCACCTTCCCCAACCACGCCATCCAGACCTGGCCACTTCATCGACCCTCTTTTCTCTCATCAGCCGCCCTATAAATGTATCAGGGAAAAGGCTGATCTGCACTAGGAGCGTCAGACTGGTCTCCACTCCCACCCCGACCTCTACGAAAGTCGATAGATTTTGTTGATTACCCCATATCCCCAGACAATCACTCCCTCACGGGTCCCTCAACGAATAAAAGCCGCCTCGTCCCCTGCTTCCCCTCCCCTTTCCTTGCCATTAATTAATTCCTGGACCGATTGACTCGATTTTCACCATGGCTTTTCGACAGCGCATCGCGAAACCACTTCTGTACACGACGGGGGCGATCACAGTGGGAGGAACCTTCCTCTACCTCTCGTATCGGCCGAGGAATATTCCTGGCTCCGATCCGGCGGTGGTGAAGCCTCCGGGGTATGGAGAGGGAGGCACCTTTCGTCCGCCACGCTTCCCGAAGGTTAGAAGTCGGGAGGAGCAGATTGCAGAGTTGAAGAGGAGTGGTGCCAAAGGGTCGGGATCAATTACACGGATACTGGGTGGGAAGGACACACGGGATGATGGGGAGATATATGACTTGCTGGTGGTTGGTGCCGGAGCCACAGGGACGGGAGTAGCACTGGATGCTGCGACGAGAGGGTTGAAGGTTGCCGTGGTGGAGAGGGATGATTTCAGCAGTGGGACGAGTAGTAAGAGTACGAAACTGGTGCATGGTGGAGTCAGGTATCTGGAAAAGGCGTTTTGGGAATTGGATTACAATCAATACGCATTGGTCAAGGAAGCTCTGAGGGAACGGAAATACTTTTTGGAAACAGCGCCCCATCTTTCCTCTTGGTTACCGATCATGCTGCCATTGGATAAGTGGTGGAAGGCTCCTTATTTTTGGTGCGGCACTAAAGCTTATGATCTTTTGGCAGGTGCCGAAGGAATTGAGAGCTCGTACTTTTTGACCAAGAGCAAGGCTTTGGAGGCTTTTCCTATGTTGAAAAAGACGAATTTGGTGGGGGCTTTGGTTTATTATGATGGAGCCCATAACGATTCCAGGATGAATGTCTCTTTGGCTATGACTGCCGCACTTTACGGCAGTACAGTCGTCAACCACATGGAGGTCACAGGATTGGAAAAGGATGCGGATGGTAAACTATGCGGAGCTCGAGTTAAGGATTTGATCAAGGAAAAGAATGGACAGCGTGCTGATGAATTTCTCATTCGTGCCAAAGGGATAATCAACGCCACTGGGCCATTTACGGATGGTGTCCGAAAAATGGATGACGGGGAAGTCAAGGAAATCGTGGCGCCAAGTTCTGGAGTTCATGTCGTTCTTCCAGGTTACTACAGTCCTCAAAATATGGGTCTCATTGACCCAAAAACCTCAGATGGGCGAGTGATTTTCTTCCTTCCATGGCAAGGAAACACCATTGCAGGTACTACCGATGCACCAACCAAAATCTCTCACAACCCCATTGCAGGCGAGGAAGAAATCGACTGGATTCTCTCCGAAATTAGACGATACCTGGCACCTGATATTAACGTCCGACGAGGCGATGTCCTCGCAGCTTGGTCTGGAATTCGTCCTCTAGTCAAGGACCCCAACGCCAAGAATACCGAATCTCTCGTCCGAAACCATCTCATCAACATTTCCCCCTCAGGTCTTCTAACCTGTGCAGGTGGAAAATGGACTACCTACCGTCAAATGGCGGAAGAGTGTGTCGATGAAGCAATCAGCCACTTCAAGCTCCAACCTAAACCCGTCCTCAATGCCCCTCACGTAAGCGGTACAGAAGCCATCGATGACGGCGCTCATCTCAATGGCTCTTGCCAGACTCACCAGGTAAAATTAGTCGGTGCTCACGGTTACTCCAAGACCCTCTTCATCAACCTGATTCAACATTTCGGTATTGAAACTGATGTCGCCAAACATCTCACTGAATCTTACGGTGATAGAGCGTGGACAGTTGCTGCTTTGAGTGCTCCTACCGAACAGCGATTCCCCGTCAGAGGCGAGAGAATCAGTCCACTTTACCCATTCATTGACGGTGAGGTGAGATACGCTGTTCGACATGAGTATGCTCAAACAGCAGTAGATGTCATTGCCCGACGCACACGCTTGAGTTTCCTGAACGCACAGGCGGCTTTAGAAGCCCTACCAAAGGTCATCGACATCATGGCCGGCGAGCTAAAATGGGATAACAGAAGGAAGGACGTTGAATGGAGAGATTGTAAGTTTTGATTCGCCCCCTCCCCCTTTCCTTTCCCTAGAAACTTGAGAAGTCGACTAACCCATCCTCAGCCGTCCAATTCCTGGAGTCCATGGGCCTCCCGAAATCCAAGTTAACTGCCACGCGGAAGGAGGTCGAGAGTGGCAAGTTGAGTTTCAAGGACTCCATTGAGTATAAGATGTACTCGAGACATGACCAACCGAATGATGAGATGGAGAGTGATGCGAAGAGGGGTGTTGGGTTGCAGAAGGGGAGTGCGGCGGAGAAGTGAGGGTGGGTTTTTGGTGTGTGTAAGTCTTGGTTATGAGTGAGGGGAAGGGGGTAGGGGGTTGTGTGTGATTAGTTGTTGTGCGCTGTGGACTGTGGGATACAGTAAGCTTGTGGGGAGTTGACTTGTAAATATTCTTATCGCTTAGAATTGATGGTTCTCACATTTTGGATGACGAAATAATGAAAAGGAGGAGTGAGAAGGAGTGAGAAAAGAGATGCTTGCGGGATTTGTGGGGGTTGTGGTTGGATATGGATCTGTTGAAATGTTGTGTGCTAGTACGTATCTCACTGAATATTCATCTCCCACTCCTCCGTTATTGTAGTATGAATGAAAAGGGAAAGGTTAATATCCACACTACTAGAATTGAACCGGTTCCTTCACTCCTCATCAAGTTGCGGGTGGTAGTAACTTGATTATAGGATTTTGGATAGTATGTTGGTATGGAATAAATCAGCGTGTATTGAAAGATTCTATTAAACAGTTGCGATCAAATCTCTATTCTCGACGAGCAACCAAAGGCTCTGGTTTGGATTCAGAATCAGATCCCTTGCAAACCCGTTGCGCTTACGCATCGCCGTAAGCCTTTAATTATTTCCTCCCCAAGTTCCGCGGTCGTCTACCGTCAGGCGTTTCTTCTCAAGGCTCGTGAGATACAATCTCAACTCCGTGGTCTCCTTGATCTCTATGGCTTTCGTGACAACAGTAGATCCCTTGTTCTCCGGATCCGGGTTCAGGTTCTCTTTCCAACGTTTGTAGGAATCTCCCTTCTGCTCGAGGAGTGATTTCGCACGCTCGATTTTGCCACAAATCGAGAAGTCTGGATTTTTGGCGATCTCCACCATTGTTTGTCTGGGATTTGGGGTCTTCGTGGTGGGATTCTCCTTGTTGGTGGAATTTTGGACGGTGGAATCTTGGGTGGTAGAATCTTGGGTGGTAGAATCTTGGGTGGTAGAATCTTGGGTGGTAGAATCTTGGGTGGTAGAATCTTGGGTGGTAGAATCTTGGGTGGTAGAATCTTGGGTGGTAGAATCTTGGGTGGTAGAATCTTGGGTGGTAGAATCTTGGGTGGTAGAATCTTGGGTGGTAGAATCTTGGGTGGTAGAATCTTGGGTGGTGGGAGTTGACATCTTTGGTATTTGATAAAAGCGTCGAGTTTGTATCTTTACTGATGAGTGCAGAACTGAGTGCTGAGCGAGGATAGAGTAAGTTTTTGCACTTGGTGTGAGTTTGAAATTGTTGTGAGGAAGTTGTGGGTGGAGGTTCAATATATATGCAACGAAGGTATTTATATTTCTTTGTTAGACAACATTCACAAATGTTGGATAGTCGACAACAATCACAGTGGTTGGTCGAATGGCCACATTCACAGCTGTTGGATGATTCTTTGTCTCTGGTCAAGGGTTTGTGATTTGGATAGTCTATATCAGATTCTTGGTAGTCCGCTCGAAAACTCGCCTATCCCTTCGCCTCATGTTTTTGGACTGGCTAGGAGAAATCTGACTCAAGTATCTCGTGGTCTTGTAGGTGTTTTGTAATCGCACTTCCTAGACTATAATTATGACTTTGGTTGTAGGTCTAGGTCAGACACAATGGTGAAGACCTAAGGTACAGACCAGGAAAGTTCTGAAGTGGACATCATATTCAAGCATCTAAGATTCACTTCTTCTGTCATACAATAGTATGAAGGCTCGTTCATCGCTTCGTTTCCACATAAAACACATCACTGACAGAAAAGGAACCCATCTTCAAGTTTTAAATGATCCGACTAATGCAAGTACGAATGAACAATAAAAAGCTTCTATTTCCGCCAAAGGAAGGACACAGAAATATCTCTTCCCGCATTTGTTCACTTGGCAAACCACGAAGGCCAAACGTTCCTCAGAAACCGCTCTTCTCCTAACTTACGATGTTTTTCCTCAAGCTCTCCAAGATAAAATCTCATATCTTTCTTCTCCTGCGTCCCTCCAGTAACCCGCTTTGCAACGTCTCCAGACACCCTTGCTGTAACCTTGAAGAAGTGTTTTCTGCCCGCTTTCGGGTTATTGGGATCTTCACACCATTCGTCGTAATGTTCTCCGAACTCTTCGATGAGTTGCATGAGAGCGGTGATCCGATCATTGATGTATTGGCGAGCGTCGACGAACTTTCGCCGCGGCGAGTTGCTGGTGAACCTTTTTACGTTTCCCTCTCCTGGGACATGAATCGTCGTGTAGCTTCCGTTAACCTCCTCTGTAGGAGAGGTCTCCGTGGAGACGACCATGGGAGTTTTGGGAGTAGGGGGGTGTGGGCAGAATAGATGATGTGGTGACTTGCGCTTTTTGAGAACTTGCGGATCAACTTGGTATTATGGGGTATTGTAGATGTTGAAATGTGCTAAGATGTAAATGTGCAGAATTGTAGATATTGTGTGGTGGTATGTTTGGTGAAATGTAAGAAAACTCAAAGATCTATCGGTAGGTGTTCTTTTATGGGCCTCTCTAGTCGTATAGGAACCATTCACAACGGTTCTGGCTGATTGTAAACATGTCAGGGTATGATTATCCTTTCGCAATTCATGACTTAGAATATCTGAATGGAAGAAATGAAACACTTGAGCCAAGTTTATTACAACAATCCAATCACCCAAACAATCCTTGAACTTAGCCCTCTTCTTCATTCCAGGAACTCGATACCACAAAATCTAAACCTATTCCCAGTAGACTGAGCAATTACAGCTGGGCGCTATGAGACAAATACTGTAGACGACCGAGAGCGAATATAAATTTTGAAAGCGAGTTGCTTATTAGAAATTATAACGAATCCCTCAAGTGAAGCGGATCTTTTAGGAAGGCGCTGCCGAAGTCCACCAGGCATCATACCTAGATTGATACATAAACATCAGAAAACCAGCTCCCTACCCCAGCCTTCCATATCTCGAAACTCTTACTCACGATCCTTCTCAGTGTCCGAAACTTGCTGGGTTTATGGGTGGAGGAGTACTATATATATGAACCTCAAAAACTCGCTTAACCCCNCCCCCCACCTTTTTGACCATAGGAAAATCTAAGACCATTCTAACCTTCAAAGTTTGGATTATCCCTTTACAAAATTTGGACATGGTCCAACTATTTCTCTCTGCTGCAGCAAGTAGTAGATCCTAAGATCTTGATAACTTGATACAATAAAAAAAGGGGGTTTCCCTTCTTACAAAGTCGTTTAAAAACGGGTTTCGAAAACAAAACTATAAAAACACCTTCCAGTATTCCCCGATAACCTGCTTTTTTCGAGAGGGGTAAGAGAATACCGAGATACATTGTAGTCTTGTACGGTATCCCGAATCTACTACTAAACCAGATGACCAAATCGCAAATCGCAAATCGCAAATCGCAAATCGTAAAAGTCTTAAATTTACTACTGCTATCTACTACAACAACCTTTTTCGTAGATTGAAAATTTTGTTCTAAAACGCTCAATCTCTCTTACTCTCGTTGACAAGCTAAAATTCCCTCCATGGAGACTCCTCCAGGGAAACCTCCGATTTCGCCCACGCCCGTTGGAAGGGGCCTGAAAAAGGGGGGAGTACGCCCGATGCCCCCACTACCCAATATACAGCAGCACTTCGTTTCTGGAACCACCAAAGCTCTAGAACGTGGTGCTATAGGTCAAATCTTCTTTGGAGGTACCGCGGAAGCCGTTGACCACCACCTAAACACTGCTCTTGATAGGGCTCCCCCGGAACTCTTGCCCTACCTCAGGGCCTTTTGCNCAAATCTTCTTTGGAGGTACCGCGGAAGCCGTTGACCACCACCTAAACACTGCTCTTGATAGGGCTCCCCCGGAACTCTTACCCTACCTCAGGGCCTTTTGCACTCAGGTGGCCAACCTTAGCTTAGCTTTCCACCGAACATACACCTCAGGGACCCCGCCTCCACTACTGTCCGCTCTTGGAGCCTCCCAAAGGGGCAGAGATGGCNCTTGATAGGGCTCCCCCGGAACTCTTGCCCTACCTCAGGGCCTTTTGCACTCAGGTGGCCGACCTTAGCTTAGCTTTCCACCGAACATACACCTCAGGGACCCCGCCTCCACTACCGTCCGCTCTTGGAGCCTCCCAAAGGGGCAGAGATGGCCCTATGTCTCCTACGATCTCAACCCCCTCTCTGGCTCCTGTGGAAAAAATCTCATACGCACAGACCATAAAGAGTGCCTTAGTGCCTGAGAATCTAGGCACAACCACAGCAGCAACAACACCACCCCCTCCTACTGTTACTTTAAAGTCACAGAAGAACAAAGGCCCCCTAGCCAAACCCGATCTTAGGGTATTTATTCGACTTCCTCTAGACTCTCTTGAAAGGAAACACTCTGCCCTAGCCATCTACCTTGCACTCTGCGACCCAAAAATTGGCTGTAAAGAGCTTGTACAAGAAGTTCTTTCGGTTAACTCTGGGTTTGCTATTGTAGCTAAGAGTAAAGAAGCTCTGGACACCCTTCTGTCAACAAAGAAGGCCTTT